TTGAACGACTGGGTGGGGGAGAGGAGCGCGACGGTTGAAGGGTGGGCTGCGAGCTCACCGAGAAGGGAGAAGGGAAGGTGAAAAAAATAATTGCCTCACCTACCCCACCATGAGACCGCCGTTGATCCGCCCGTGTATATATCAAATACATTTTCTTATTCTTTGTGTAATATCGTATGACATTCTCTCTTGTTTCACACTCCTCGAAAGGCAGGAGTACTAAAAAAGTAGCCTAAGTGGTATAGCACCTACCAATAATAACCATTTGCTGACAAGTTTCTCGAATCCGATATCTGAAAATGCCTATCCGATAAACTTCTGTCTGAATTTGACAAATTTTCAGAGTAATAAAGCTAAATCGCGAATGTGTTCGAGCGTTCTGGGCTGGGCAGCAGCAAGAATTGATTTTCTTGCGTAATCGTAATCCAGAAAGAGGATCAATACAAAATGCTCGCCAAGTTTTGAGGTAAATGTCTGTGTTTACATGTATTTTGCAGGCTCTTTCATTTATGCATGTATTTCGCTTTCGTAGTTGTCAAAAGAATGTATTTCACAGGTAGAGAACTTTTCTTTGTTTGAAAAGGACGGTGAAGAGTGTTGAGGAGATGGATGGGGAAGGGGAAGAGGGGAGGGCGCAGGAAGTGAGGGGGGGAGGGAGGAGAAGGGAGAGGAGGAGATGATCTGAAAATTTTTTAGTAGTTGAAAAGTTAGCTTTAAATTTCTGTTTTATAGCAGCGAAATAGTAGGCTTTACAAGTTGGAATTATCCTTTTTTTTTCTTCCCGTTTTCCTTTAAAGCAAAGTCGGCGATCAAAAAATAGCCGTAGTTTCAACCCCGAATGGGACAAAAAGGTCTTAGCTGTGTAAGTGCCGTTTTCTTCCATAATACCTTCCTCCCCCTCCTCTCCCCGTCCGCCCTCTTTTGCCTAAATATAGCATGCTTTAGCTCATCTTTTTTGTTTTTTAACGCCTTCCAGCGGATTTTACTCTCTCTTACCTAATCTTCGCAAGAAAATGCATCCATTTCATGAATTTTACCAGATTTTTTTTGTCTCT